ACCTCCTTCCATCAGCAAGGGCATTGAAGATGAAACGTAGCTGGGTCTTTCAGCATGACAATGATCCCAAACACACCGCCCGGGCAACGAAGGAGTGGCTTCGTAAGAAGCATTTCAAGGTCCTGGAGTGGCCTAGCCAGTCTCCAGATCTCAACCCCATAGAAAATTTTGGAGGGAGTTGAAAGTCCGTGTTGCCCAGCGACAGCCCCAAAACATCACTGCTCTAGAGGAGATCTGCATGGAGGAATGGCCCAAAATACCAGCAACAGTGTGTGAAAACCTTGTGAAGACTTACAGAAAACGTTTGACCTGTATCATTGTCAACAAAGGGTATATAACAAAGTATTGAGAAACTTTTGTTATTGACCAAATACTTATTTTCCACCATAATTTGCAAATAAATTCATTAAAAATCCTACAATGTGATTTTCAGGATTTTTTTTTCTCATTTTGTCTGTCATAGTCTCCAGAGTTCTCTAAAATATAGGAATCGAAAAGAAAGACTATTCTTATGGCATTTGTAATAATGCCTCTTTACTGAACTTCCTGATTTAGCCTCGGTTTCAATTGTCCTCATTAGGAAATGCGACTGAGAATGATATTTGGGTCTTGGAGGTGTGCTTTGATGTGGAGATTTGGGTCTTGGAGGTGTGCTTTGATGTGGGTGTCACGTATGTGTGTTCGAACGTGGGAAGCGTTTGTACTTTCACTCTGCAAAAACAGTACAGTTACAGTCACTCACCCTTCTAGATAACTTGAAACAGTCTAACCAGGTCTTGTGTCTGGAAGTAGCCTAGACTAGCTAGCAAGCTAGCCAACTTATTTCGCCAATTAGCTTCAGCTGGCCGGTGTGCAACAGTGGCAAAGTTGGTTTGATAGCCTGATCTGTGGAGCTAGTTAGGGACTGTCAATAAATTACACAATGTAAATGGGACAATGTGAACCGTTTCAGGAAGCTAGGCGTATGTCGCACATCACTACTTCACAGGAGAGCCATTTGAACCTCTTTTTTTAATTTATCAAAATGCAGCATGCTTCTGTTTATAACGTGAGCTCAGTATATGTAGATAATCCTTGCTTTCGCAGCGTTTTTTAAAGATCTAACGTTAGCATGGAGAACTGCAAAAATGTTGCTACTGCTCTTTAGCAGACGCTATCGACAAAGATCAGTGGGAAAAAGATGTGATGTGTTATTTTCTGCACACGGTCAGTGTGAACCGGAGTGACTTGACACAATGCGGGCCAAACAAGATGTAGCTACAAACAAAAAGGGTTCCAGTCTGCCGTGAAGCGTTCATCCATGTATACGGGTAAGAGTCTAGCAACATTTTCATATATAATTTTAATTGCAAGTTAAAGCATACTGTTAGCTAACTATTACTGTGTAGTAATATTATTTGTATCAGAAAGCCATTTGCATTGCTAGTTATAGCCTAATGTTAGCTAGCTAGATAACATTGAACCTAGTTGGTTTGCATTAGCTACCTGCAGATTCAGTATACAGCTATAACAATCAGTTTGAATTACTAGTAGTATGGGTTGGGATTATGGTTAATTGTTTAGCTAGCTAGCTACATGTCTAAACAAAAGACTCCACATATGTTTACATGACCCATCAAGTTAGCCAGGTGTGTCTGGGGGTGATTACGGCCATCTACTGTATTTCATGAACATGTGTACACAATAGTGACCCATCCACTTAGCTAGATGTGGCTGGGGGGTGGTTATAGCATTCATTTTACAAGTGTGTCTGGGTAAGCATCATCTAATAATTATAAAATATTAATACAATATTTTTATCTGGACACTTTCTGTTTTTGATATTGCTACTATGCAAATATGCAAGTAACCATTTCACTGTACCTTTTACACCTTCTGTATCCTGTGCATGTGACAAATAAACTTAGATTATATTTGATATAGTGTGTGTTTACCAGAGACGGTAATGTGAAGAACAACATCACCTGCACCAAAGTCAGATTAGGATATAGGCCAAGGACTAGATAAAGTGTATTTTTACCTGGATTTTTCCTTATTGTAGGCTACTACTTTTACCACTTTTAGTCTTGAAATCTTTGGTTGTTTACTACACTACCTTACTCACTCTGTTTAGCACATGGCCTCACATGTGAATCCACTAAGAGATGGGTGGGGCAAAGGCTTAAGATGGTCTGAACAATGCTGAATAGGTGTATGCAAAGAAGAGCTCTCTAGTAGGTGTACCAAAACATTCAAGTGCCATTTTCTCAAAAGTGGGGTTACAAGTGTATCAACTTTGAAAGCAGAATTACTTTCCCATTGTTCCTCAACTGCAGTGTACGATATACCATTTTGTAGCTCTGAGTCTCTACTTTTATCCAATGTAAAAATAATAAATAAAAACATTTCAAAATCTTGCTACATACACTACATGACCAAAAGTATGTGGACACCTGCTCGTCAAACATCTCATTCCAAAATCATGGGCATTAATATGGAGTTGGTCCCCCCCTTTGCTGCTATAACAGCCTCCACTCTTCTGGGAAGGCTTTCCACTAGATATTGGAACATTTCTGCAGGGACTTGCTTCCATTCAGCCACGAGAGCATTAGTGAGGTCAGGCACTGATGTTGGGTGATTAGGCAGGGCTCGCAGTCAGCGTTTGAATTCCTCCCAAAGGTGTTCGATGGGGTTGAGGTCAGGGCTCTGTGCAGGCCAGTCAAGTTCTTCCACACTGATCTCGACAAACCATTTCTGTATTGACCTCGCTTTGTGCACGGGAGCATTGTCATGCTGAAACAGGAAAGGGCCTTCCCCAAACTGTTGCCACAAGTTGAAAGCACAGAATCGTCTAGAATGTCATTGTATGCTGTAGCGTTAAGATTTCCCTTCACTGGAACTAAGGGGCCTAGCCCGAACCATAAACCATGAAAAACAGCCCCAGACCATTATTCCTCCTCTACCAAACTTTACACTTGGCACTAAGCATTGGGGCTGGTAGCGTTCTCTTGGCATCCGCCAAACCCAGATTTGTCCGTCGGACTGCCAGATGGTGAAGCGTGATTCATCACTCCAGAGAATGCTTTTCCACTGCTCCAGAGTCCAATGCCGAGCTTTACACCCCTCCAGCCGACGCTTGGAATTGCGCATGGTGATCTTAGGCTTGTGTGTGGCTGCTCGGCCATGGAAACCCATTTCATGAACCTCCCGGCGAACAGTTGTTGTGCTGAAGTTGCTTCCAGAGGCAGTTTGGAACTCGATAGTGAGTATTGCAACCGAGGACAGGCCATTTTTACTCGCTAAGCACTTCAGCAGTCCCGTTCTGTGAGCTTGTGAGGCCTACCACTTCGCGGCTGAGCCGTTGTTGCTCCTAGATGTTTCCACTTCACAATAACAGCACTTACAGTTGACCGTGGCAGCTCTAGCAGGGCAGAAATTTGACGAACTGACTTGTTGGAAATGTGGCATCCTATGATGGTGCCACGTTGAAAGTCACTGAGCTCTTCAGTAAGGCCACTATACCTGTCAGCAATGGGTGTGGCTGAAATAGCTGAATCCACACATTTTAAGGGGTGTCCACATACTTTTGTATATATAGTGTAAGACCGAATCGAGGCGGTCGGTCACATACTGGATGTTGCACATCTTTTAGTTGTCTCATTAAATGCTTTCAATATTTATGAATTTCTGCAATGTATAGTTGTTTTAGGTTAAATCATTTAAATGTGGAGCTATTTACATTTTTAAATATTGTCCCATGTACATTTTGTAATTTACTGATGGTCCCTAACTAGCCCCATAGGGATATCGAATGTCAAACCAAATTGACCATGGGCATTATAAATCGGATCGCGTGCAGCTGTGTTCCAAATTGATGATTACTTGGGGGCTGCCAGCTGTGGGCAGGATTAAAATAAACCCAAGGAAAATTATTACGGTACCCTTCATTCCGTGACATACAATTTTTTCCTAATTATCTAGCAAATCTCAGTTTTGGACGAGACTGACTTTATGACCAAAATTATCCTATTTACACTTTGTAGTCAATTTTGACACTATAATAAATGTTTCTGATTAATAAAGGTGCCACATAGGCCGTTTTCTATCAGAGAAGTTGTTTATTGCCTTCAGTTTAAATTAATCATGTTTACGAAGTGCTGGCTAAGTTGACAGACACTTCCTTTCCTCAGGAATTTAATATTGTAATTTTCTCCACTTAATCATGTGAACCTGTGTATCTTTCAATAAAACAATTTTTTAAACGGTGCAATTTTTTTGTGTGGAAATTATAGAAACATGGTGTATTTTCCTTCAAGAGGTAATTATTTCCATTTTTGTTTTGTCCTACATGTGAAATGTACAGAAAAACACGACTCAGATCAGGTTATAGACCATTACTCTGATTGTATTAACAAATTATAAATATTTCCATATTCATAATGAGAGTTGAAGAAGGGTTGACATCACATTTCTTTAGTATAGGTTTGTACTATACAATTCAGTATCATTGGTGTAGAGTCATTCTGTAGAGAAAAACATTGTGTCCATATCAGGTGTTGTTCCATGTCATTTCCCTTCAAACAAATGGATGTTTCCCCATATGTGTGTAATTAGAGGAATGTGTTCTGAGGCAATTATATGAGTGGGAGGGTTAGGGCACGTTTTATGACTTGTGCTCTTGCACAGCTAAGAGTGTGTCCTGATACGTGTGTGTGTCTAGTTGTGACTGTCGTATCTGTAGCATCTGTGTGTGTGTATCCTGTCAGTGTCATAGCGTCTGGTTGGTGGAGCAGCCTGGCACGGCTGTGTGTGTATCCTGTCAGTGTCATAGCGTCTGGTTGGTGGAGCAGCCTGGCACGGCTGTGTGTGTATCCTGTCAGTGTCATAGCGTCTGGTTGGTGGAGCAGCCTGGCACCGCTGTGTGTGTATCCTGTCAGTGTCATAGCGTCTGGTTGGTGGAGCAGCCTGGCACGGCTGTGTGTGTATCCTGTCAGTGTCATAGCGTCTGGTTGGTGGAGCAGCCTGGCACGGCTGTGTGTGTATCCCATCGCTGCCATAGTGGCTGTGTGTCTGTGTGTGTGTCATGTTGTACCATGTGTGTGTGTGTGTGTGTCGTGTTGTGCCATGTGTGTGAGTGTGTCGTGAAGAGCCCTGGTCCTGGGCTTAACTCTGTCAGTGAGGCTGCAGGAAGATCTCTCTCTGTTTAGTCTGAGCTCAACCATGTTGAGAACACACACTGCTTCACGGACCAGCCCTGACTGCTGCACCACCTGCAACACACATCACATACGATATACACAGGTATATTAGAGCCAGAAAATTGTGTTCACATAACAGTGACGCCATCATGAGTATAGAGGGATGGAGAGAAAAAACAGGTTATTTGCTGTGTGTGTAGTGTGTGTGTGTGTGTGTAGTGTGAGTGTTAGGGCTGGGCGATGTTCCAGATGCCTGTATCGCGAGAATCAAGTATTTTTCTATTTGGCTTTTTTATGAGCGTCTGTCTTTTTGGTCTAGTCTCCTTCACTTCTTCTGTGCTGTGTGCACTGTGCACCTTCCCACTTGCACACAGACACCAAGTCCCTCACAACAACAAAGATGAAAGATCACTTCATCTCTGACAAGCAGTTTCAACTCGTTATTTGCATCTGAGGTTTGGTCCAACAGAATCGGTGGATTCCCCTTCTAACGATACCCTTTACAGAGCAGACCCTACTAAAACGGGAGTATCAATGAACATGATTGTGGGAAATTAATGCTCAGTTTGTCGTGTGCGGCATTGCAGTACCGCTAGCAGCATTTTTGTCACATACTGTTATGTGCTAGCTGTCTAGTCTGTGTTTTAGAAATGTGCAATGAGCATGAAAAGACGCATTTATATCAGGAATTGGCAACTCGTTCTCATTCTGAGAAATAAGCATATAATTCCTGCTACAAGACGTTAGTCATTATTAGTGGATGTGCATGGTTCTGGTTACATTTGTAAGTGGCGCAGTGGTCTAAGGCACTGCATCGCAGTGCTAGCTGTGCCACTAGAGATCCTGGTTCGAATCCAGGCTCTGTCGTAGCCGGCCGCGACCGGGAGACCCATGGGGCGGCGCACAATTGGCCCAGCGTCGTCCAGGGTAGGGGAGGGAATGGCCGGCAGGGATGTAGCTCAGTTGGTAGAGCATGGCGTTTGCAACGCCAGGGTTGTGGGTTCATTTCCCACGGGGGGCCAGTATAAAAAATAATGTATGCACTAACTGTAAGTCGCTCTGGATAAGAGCGTCTGCTAAATGACTAAAATGTAAATGTAAATGTAAAAAGGGCATTTTCATAGACAGACTTGAAAGCCAGATCAGTAATTATTGCAAAAAAGTAGGTTTGACTATTTTCATTACATAATTAAATTATTAGTGGGTCTTATGGTTGTGGATAGCTTATATTTAGCCTAGGTATAACTTCACAAGCTCTGAATTTGTTAGATTACTCCTGACTGTTTGAAATGCAAGGTCTTGACCTTTAATTATGCAACAAAGCTTTTTAGAGAAAAAGTTTTAAAATATTTAGATATACACTGAGAGTACAAAAATATTAAGAACACCTGCTCTTTCCATGACAGACTGACCAGGTGAATCCAGGTGAAAGCTATGATCCCTTATTGATGTCACTGGTTAAATCCACTTTAATCAGTGTAGATTAATGGGGGAGACAGCTTAAATAAGGATTTTTAAGCCTTAAACAAGAGACATTGATTGTGTATGTGTGCCATTCAGAGGGTGAATGGGCAAGACAAAATATTTGTGCCTTTGAACAGGGTATGGTAGTAGGTCCCAGGCGCACCAGTTTGTGTCAAGAACTGCAACTCTGCTGGGTTTTTCACGCTCAACAGTTTCCAGTGTGTATCAAGAGTGGTCCACCACCCAAAGGACATCCAGCCAATTTGACACAACTGTGGGAAGCGTTGGAGTCAACATGGGCCAGCATCCCTGTGGAATGCTTTAGACACCTTGTAGAATCCATGCCCTGACGAATTGAGGCTGTTCTGAGGGCAAAAGGGGGGGGTGCAACTCAATATTAGGAAGTTGTTCTTAATGTTTTGTACACTCAGTGTATATCGTGAATCGCCTATAAATTTGAAAAAAATGAAGATGTGATTTTTAGGCCATATCACCCAGCCCTAGAGTGTGTGTGTGTGTGTGTGTGTGTGTGTGTGTGTGTGTGTGTGTGTGTGTGTGCATCAAGTGGGGTAATGTTGTGAGCTCACCATGTGGACTATCTCCCTGGCACCACTCAGGGGGTTGTGGGAGAAAACTGCAAAGTTGACCAGGAGGCTGGCGACCAATAGCGAGTCCAGGGACGGCTGCTGGGGGACGGCTGACATCAGCTCAACCAATAACTGCAGTTGGTCAGCAGGAAGAGGAGGAGCTGAGAGCAGGAAGAGTGACCTCAGGTGATCCCAGACTGCTCTGGCTGCCACCTGGAAACAGAAAGAAGGAACGGGAGGAAACTAGCTTCAGCTGGAAGCCTGTCTTGTCATTTTACATTTACATCATTTAGCAGACGCTCTTATCCAGAGCGACTTACAATTTGTTCAAATGTTGTCATTTTCCATGACAAGGGCTGGATGGATGGGAGTAAAAGAATGCCTTCAAAGTCAACCAAAGGTTATGCCCTCTATATACCTCAACTTCTCTCTGACCACAGTGTGTGTAGGTCCCTCAGGGTAGACAGGAGACAGCCAGGCAGACACACTCAGAGTGGGATCAATACCATATCAGCCTCCCTCACCCTTCTCCCTTTCTCCTCTCTACCCCTCTTTTTCCCTTCTCCTTCTAACCTGGAGAAACAATCTATTATTCATCCCTCAGTCCATTATTCATCTATCTATATATTGGCCGAGCTATTCTGAGACCAGCCAGGACAGGTCAGTAAGGACAACGCCATCTACACTGAGTATACAAAACCTAATATTAGGAAGGTGTTCCTAGTTGACAACAGTAACCCCTTCCATCCAGCCAGCCAGTACATACTAGCTGCTGTGTCCGGTGGTGCCCCTGGTTGGTAGGGTGGTGGTAGAAGGTGAGGAGCCACAGCAGGGGGCCACAGTCCTGGGGTCTGGCTGAGACCAGTAGCTGGCTGGCCACCTCCACCCAGTTAGCACACTGCACCAGCAGGAACCATGCCTCAAACACTCCACACTGACCCCTGGAGGACAGGAAACAACACACACACACAGGAAATTAAACTAGCACCCAACAATTATATGAGAGATAGAGAGATGGCGTGGTCAAGAAAATGCAGAGAGAGAGGGAGATGACAGGGAAAGATAGGGAAGAAGATTAGTAAGAGAGTAAGACGATGAGAGAATGAAGGGGGAGAGAGAGAGTACAATTTAAAATAGAGAGGGAGAGAGAAAGGGACCCGGGGTTAGACAGAGATTGGTAGACACTAGACAGACAGCTGCACAAGCCTGAGCTTTGGATATGAGTTAGGATAAGAGACTTAAATGTCCTTAATTACATAATTAGATTCCTTCTCTTCCTGCCTCCCGTACTGAAACTTTTAACAGCACCCCTCAGAAGAACCTGGCAGCTGGGTCTCCTTTCCAAATGCTCTTTCCCATCACTGGTTGGGAACAGTTGGGAATTTCGTATGGTGTTCCGGAATGGAGCGGTCGGGGTAATGGGCCAAGTTAAAAGCCACAGCTGGAGGGCAGCAAGTCAGCCGTCCCAATCACTGGGCTGGACCACCATCGCTCGCTCTGTTCTCAGTGCTCCCTTTCTCTCTCTGCTACTGCTTTCCATCAATCCTTGGGCTACTATTCTCTTTCTCTCACACATTCTTCCCTTCTCTCTGCTATTGATTTCTACCACTCTCTCTCTCACTCACTGCAATCTTCCCCCTCAGTCGGTTAGGACATCTACTTTGTGCATGACACAAGTAATTTTTCCAACAATTGTTTACAGACAGATTATTTCACTTATTATTCACTGTATCACAATTCCAGTGGGTCCGAAGTTTACATACAAGTTGACTGTGCCTTTAAACAGCTTGGAAAATTACAGAAAATAATGTCATGTCTTTAGAAGCTTCTGATAGGTTAATTGACATCATTTGAGTCAATTAGAGGTGTACCTGTGGATGTATTTCAAGGCCTACCTTCAAACTCAGTGCCTCCTTGCTTGACATCATGGGAAAATCAAAAGAAATCAGCTAATTTTTTTGTAGACCTCCACAAGTCTGGTTCATCCTTGGGAGCAATTTCCAAGGTACCACGTTCATCTGTACAAACAATAGTACGCAAGTATAAACACCATGGGACCATGCAGCCATCGTACCGCTCAGGAAGGAGATGCGTTCTGTCTCCTAGAGATGAACGTACTTTGGTGCGAAAAGTGCAAATCAATCCCAGAACAACAGCAAAGGACCTTGTGAAGATGCTGGAGGAAACAGGTACAAAAGTATCTATATCCACAGTAAAACGAGTCCTATATTGACATAACCTGAAAGGCCGCTCAGCAAGGAAGAAGCCACTGCTCCAAAACCACCATAAAAAAGCCAGACTACGGTTTGCAACTGCACATGGGGACAAAGATCGTACTTTTTGGAGAAATGTCCTCTGGTCTGATGAAACAAAAATAGAACTGTTTGGCCATAATTACCATTGTTATGTTTGGAGGAAAAAGGGGGTTGTTTGCAAGCCGAACAACACCATCCCAACCATGAAGCATGGGGGTGGCAGCATCATGCTGTGGGGGTGCTTTGCTGCAGGAGGGACTGGTGCACTTCACAAAATAGATGGCATCATGAGGAAGGACAATTATGTGGATAAATTGAAGCAACATCTCAAGACATCAGTCAGGAAGTTAAAGCTTGGTCGCAAATGTGTCTTCCAAATGGACAATGACCCCAAGCATACTTCCAAAGTTGTGGTAAAATGGCTTAAGGACAACAAAGTCAAGGTATTGGAGTGGCCATCACAAAGCCCTGACCTCAATCCTATAGAAAATATATGGGCAGAACTGAAAAAGCGTGTGCGAGCAAGGAGGCCTACAAACCTGACTCAGTTACACCAGATCTGTCAGGAGGAATGGGCCAAAATTCACCCAACTTATTGTGGGAAGCTTGTGGAAGGCTACCCGAAACGTTTGACCCAAGTTAAACAATTTAAAGGCAATGCTACCAAATACTAATTGAGTGTATGTAAACTTCTGACCCACTGGGAATGTGAGGAAATAAAGAAAAGCTGAAATAAATAATTCTCTCTACTATTATTCTGACATTTACATTTGACATTTTAGTCATTTAGCAGACGCTATCCAGAGCGACTTACTGTTAGTGAGTGCATACATTTTTCATACTTTCCTGACATTTCACATTCTTAAAATAAAGTTGTGATCCTAACTGACCTAAAACAGGGAATTTTTACTAGGATTAAATGTCAGGAATTGTGAAAAACTGAGTTTAAATGTATTTGGCTAAGGTGTATGTAAACTTCCGACTTCAACTGTACTTGTTCATATTTACTGCTTGACTGACTGAACCAACTTCAGCACTCTGTGCCTGACTAATGATAAGCCCACGGTATTCCCCTCTCACCTGTTGCCTTCCTCTTCCTCCTCTTCCTCAGTGAGTCTCTGTAATGATGCAGTGACCCAGGCCAGGTGTTCTGGCCACGCCTCCTGGGCCATATCTGGGGGGAAAGGAGATGAGAGAGGGATGCATAACTCAAACCATGCATTGGTGTCAATTGGTCGCACGCAAATACTCAATCACTCACACAAGCAGGCAGGCACGCACACACACACAGTGTGTAATGATTAACTTTGAGTGTTGGCTGGTAGCCAGCATGTTCCTAGACGGCCATGCTAGATGTCTATAAGCCATGCCTCCAGGTTACTTGAGTTTGGCCACACATTTAAACATACTTCAGAAAAAAAAGATAGGTGCAGTGAAATGAGTTGTTTTACAGGGTTAGCCATAGTAGTACGGCGCCCCTGGAGCAAACCTGGAGCAAATTTGTGTTAAGTGCCTTGCTTTAGGGCACATCAACAGATTTTTCACCTTGTCAGATCGGGTATTCGAACCAGAGACATTTCGGTTACTGGCCCAAAGCTCTAACCGCTAGGCTACCTGCCACCCTAGAACACTCAACATACCCATAGAGGTATACAGGTATAGCCTAGCCCTAGATTACTCTGGCAGTTTTGGATACCGTTATCATTCTGTGATGAAACATTCCCCTACACAAATAGACTAATATCCAAGCACAGTAGAGATTGATCTTGATAACTTTAAACATTACTGTGATATATTGAGTAAAGGGTAACCAAGGATATAGCTCAGTTACTGATATGATCTTGTGAGTATTGATGATAGAGAGGAATAATTAAAATTAGTAACTACTTTACCTTTCTCAACGTACCATATTAGGTAGCCTAGCGGTTAAGAGCGTTGGGCCAGTAACCGAAAGGTCGCTGGTTTGAATCCCCAACGGACAAAGTGAAAAATCTGCCAATATGCCTTTGAGCAAGGCACTTAACCCGAATTGCTCCTGTAAGTCGCTCTGGATAAGAGCCTCTGCTAAATGAGTAAAATATTAATCACATATTGATTTTAATGTAGTTATAAGTAACAGTCATTGATTGGTGAGACACAGAAAGCCATTCATTCACTCAGAGGGTAAGGTTATTTACCCATTAGAGAGCACACACACACACTACCTGAAGGATGGGTCAGCAGAGGGGCCAGTAAGCTCTGGGGTGTGTGTGGGAAGAAGGCCTTCAAGGACACACACTCCTGAAACGAGATGCACGCACACACAGGTAAGAGGCAACAGACAAAGTTAACCTATAATATAATATAATGCAGAATATTGTCAGTGCCCTCCAGTGGAGTTAGTAAAAAAAACAATGCAATACATCTATAAATCCCACCTGTAAACACCAACATAAAGACTGTCAAATGAACGTTTTGAAAAACATCAAGGCTTTTCCACTGCTAGAATAGAAGATGAGAATAAAGTGTGTGTCCTAGAGAACTGACTACACTGTAGATCGTATGGATGGAGGTCCCCTATAGCTGGGCCTGAAGGTGTTGCTGCCTGTACAGTTCAAATAGGGGTGAGCTCTAGCTCATGATGTGTAGAAGCTAAGGGATAAGGGTGAGAGTGTGTGTGTGTGTGTGTTGGGTGGTACAGTATGGGGTGGTATGTAGATTGATGCGTTATTGAGAGGTGAGGTAACACACCCTATAGTCGTGGTTGTAGTCTAGGCTACCTATGACTGTTGTGCCTGCTTATGACCACCAGCTAACCTGTAGCTGTCTTTAGGACCACAGAAACAGAATCACTAGAATGGGTAGCCCTATTCAAGTCAATGATGCCATAATGGGTGGACTGGCGTCTATTTTGAGTGCACACATGACTTTACCAGTCAAATTGCCTAGAGGTTCCAAGGCCATTCTATTAATTATATTTATATGTTTAGGAGCCTCCATACTTGAGGCTGCATGGCTGCCAGTTCCATGAGGAAGCAGAGAGTGAAGGTGTGGATGAGAGAGAGCACAGTCTGGTTCCCCTCCACCTGCACCAGCATGGACCTACACAGAGCAGAGCAGGACAACGAGCCTTTACCAGGGGAAAAACACACACACACCACTCACTTGATAAACAAGATACCGGTACATATACACATCAGTGAGTAATCAAATTGTTTACAGTAGGAATATTGTATATCTACTTTATTCACTTGTGTGAATGAACCGTCCCAATGGCTCACCTGAAGATGTCGTTCACTATTAAGAATATGGAGCCGTGCTGGGAGCAGGCTTTAGGCTGAAACACATACAAACACAAACATGGTTACATATCAGGAGTCGCCTTTATGGATCAATTCTTCTCATCCACCACTTGGTGTCACTGTTGCATAGTCTACAAAATGCCCTCATCAAAATGACACTTCCCCATTTTCACACGCTGTTCCTTAACATTCTACTACTCTCTCGCTCTCTTTTCTCTCCCTCTCTCCATCCCAATCTCCTAATGCAGCGCGCGATCATGTGTTTTAGATTGAACACGTTTTTTAAACGCCCCTGCGAAAACATTCAACAGCTGCACTGTACATGCATGCCTCTCTCTCTCTCCCCACGTCCCTTCCATACATCTTTTACCCCCAAAACAACCTTAATTATGCTCCCTCCCTCTCTCTTCTCATCTCTCATATGGGCTAGAAGGCAGTAAAAATATGCCCCTTCAGTTCCTCTCATAGCAATAACCCTTCATATAGGAAGACCACATGTCTCCTGGACTCTTATCCTATGAGAGAGAGAGGGAAGGAGGGAGAAAGAAAGAGAGAGAGAGAGGAGAGAGAGATAATCTGTGGAAAATTCCAAACTACCTCCAGAACTACCCCCCCCCCCCCCCCCCCCCCCCCGGCCTCTGGTCAAAAGCAGTGCACTACATAGGGAATAGGGTGCCATTTGGGACATAACCTAAAGCTGCCACTTCACTGCTCCAGTAAAAGGTAGGAGAGACCAATGCTAGACAGCCTAATTGATGCTCTGCTCCAACCCTGGAAGCAGAGAGGCAGGAGTAGTGTGACACTGCCCTAGCCACTGATCTACGGACAGTTTTACCTCCCATTCCACCAATGGTTGAGGAAGATTTAGAGAGGATGAGCTGATACTAGAACTGGGTCTAACTTGTAGCAGATACTGAATGGGAGGTGTTATTTGTAAAAGTAACTAGCCCCCTCTAGTGTTCATCTTGTGTCATTGGATCATCCTACCCCAGACCTAATCCCTACACTGGACTTCTTCCCATCCTCGGACTCCCATAATCAATCATGATACATATTTCTCATGTAGTACGTTGCCTCTTCTCTGCTCAGTTTAACAAATGAGAGATCAAATACGACAATCCTGGAGCCATATAAAAGGTGTGTGTGAGTGAGTGTGTGTGCATGTGTGTGTGATTGAGGGATGATGGTTTCCCCTAGTGAAAACAGATGGATTTTTAGCGTCCTCCTCCTCCATACCTTCCACTAACACTTTAAGGACTATCAATTACAGCACGCACCAAACATCCTGTTGTTGGCAGCCCAGCCGGGCCCAGGAAGGCCTTGTGTATTGTTATTGAAGGAGAAAGAGCTCAAAACAGGAATGTGATACTAATTTTAATTTCCCATTTTTGATTGCAGTTTAAACAACTGAGGGAGAGAAGCGAGCCAGTCAGCTCCTACGCCTGTCACACACACACACACACAGGGGACACACACACCACATGGAAACACACACACACACACGTACAAACACACGTGGGCGCACGGGGACACACGGGCACACACCACACGGAAACACACACACACACCACACGGAAACACACACACACACACACACACACACACACAGGGGACACACACACCACACGGAAACACACACACAACCTCTACACACATACACGTCTCCATGATCCAAACAAACACAAAGGCTAAGTGAAACCCAACCTAAGCTTCCCTCGCTGTTAACGAGTTAGGACAGACGCAGCCAACCAGATGCACTCAAACAAACAAAGCTGAAGACGTGTGTGTGTAAAACAACATCGTGATAATGACAGGCCAATCAGCAGATGGATGAGGTAGGGTAAATAAACAGATCGAGGCAGGATGGAGAGAGAGATGGAGAGAGGGATGGATGAAGGAGAAGTTCATGTAAATAAACACACACACAGCGCAGACAGACAGAAATGTTCACAGAAGTCCCCTCTTTCCAACATACCTGATAAGCAGCTTAGATGAACTCAATATGAGAAGGGGGAGATGGAGAAAGCTGCAGGATCAAAGTACACCTATACTGTAGATGCTGTGCTTTCCTGCGTGTACACTGTAGGGCCCCAATCACTCTCCATCTCGAACCATGTGTTTGATATATTTGATACCATTCCACTCCAGCCATTACCACGAGCCCGTTCTCCTCAATTAAGATGCCACCAACCTCCTGTGCCACAGATCTAGGATCATATTACTCTAACCCTAATCCTCTACTTACCATTGGGGGGGGGGGGGGGACATATCTGACCCTGTATCAGTGGTTAGAGGTAAATCTGCCTACTCCAAAATACGTACCAGTAGTGAGTGAGTGATGGTGTGCTCTAGGTTGTGCGGTATGGAGGCTGGGTTGGAGAGCACAGAGTCCAGTAGAGACATCACTGCCCCCTCTAGGCTGGCCAGGCTATGGCACCACAGAGACACCACCGCCTGGGCCTCCAGAGACACACACTTTCTGCAACACACGCACACATGCACACACACATTCACACTGAAGGTCAGTCAGATGTCAGTCAACAAGATGTACTGAATGAAGCAGTGTGGTTGGCCCGTTGGTGACACTCCTTCAGGCCTCAGGGAGTGTGACATCACTGCATGATTAGTCTCGGATATCCCAGACCTTGGAGCAACGGAAGCTAGGCAACGGCACAAGGTCTGGGGAGAATGTCGGCTTCTCTCTGACATTTTGAACGGGGAAAACATTTGTTCCCAGGAGGTTCCTCTTCAGACAGAACTCTCCCAACAAGTTTGGGTAGGCAGGGCTTAAAATGCGGGCGGGAATTGTGCTCATGTTTAGCTAGGGAAACAAGCGCATTCGGCAGTGACGTTACCGGTGACGCGCTTTCTGTCCCAACTGACGCCGGAACTTCTACAGACGTGTAAGCTGGAGCATTGGTATATTGCTGGAAGCAACCAGTCTGTCTAGAGAGACTACTGCATGATGGGTTTGTGTTCACTAGCAATATTGTTTTCTACACTTACAGCTCTCTGGTTCGTTCAGAGCTCCAAACACTGAGGGGGTAAGCCACTGGAGGATGTTTTCACACCCTATGTCCTTACCTGGAGTAGGCGCAGCTTACAGCATCAAGGAAGTCCTGGCTGAGGGCTGCCTTATCGCAGGTCACCGGCCGCTGCAGCAACGCACCAATGAGAGGAGCAGTCTCAGGACATGTGACCAGGGGGACACATGCCACTGATGCAGCAAGAACACTGTCACACGAACACCTTGGGGAAATGACGTCACATCAGGGGAACAGAACAGAGCTAGAGTTGGGACAGTGCAGGTGGTGGAGAGTAAGAGGAACAGATACAGTACCTCTGGTTAGGGTCAGCCAAACTGCTGCAGCTCTCCCCAACCTCCTCCACTAGCAACCACACCATCTGACCAGCCAGAAGGACAAGTTACAGTACACACTTACACACACAACACAGTCATGTAAATACATGTTATGGAATTTATGACCTTTTAAATAAGATCCTTCATTAGATGTGCAAGAACATCAACAAGCATTCATACCTTTCTTAGAACCTTTAAATTGTATTCCTTTGGTGGCAGGCCCATATGTTTCAGTAACACATATGTTGCACTGTCCTCTTCTTCTGTAGCAAGCTGACATAACAAATTCTGGGAGGAAAGAAAACAATGTTCAGTAGGCTCCCACATGAAAAAAATACTATAGTATACTATGGTATAAATACTAAAGTATTCACTCTAGTGTTTTTAATCGACTTTACTGTAGTATTCACTGTAGTATACTGTAGTATTTACAGTTAACTATAGTATAAATACTATAGTAAAATAAAACAGTATTATACTATAGTACTATAGTAGTGTTTTTAGCGGATTGTAGTATACTGTAGTATTTACTGTAGTGCTTTTGCAGATATTACTGTAGTATTTACTATAGTGTTTTTGTTTTAATTATCTTTGACATAAAAGTAAGGCTTTATCCTTCAGGAAACCTACTAAATGTTCCATAATCTAGGTAGGTAGGACTGGGGTCTGAACGGATAGTTCAGAGCTTCTGCTCTTTTCTATAACCTGTAGTGAAAACAATATGGTCTATACTTGGCATGTCGGTTTCTCACTTATGGGTGCCACAAATTGGGATATGGGGGAGGGGAATGGGCAGGGTACATGCTAATTAAATACTGTAGTATTACTATAGTTTAAAAAAGTGTAGTGTTTTTGCGGACTGCAGTGTTTTTGCTGACGTTACTGTAGTATTTACTACAGTGTTTTTTTTCTCTGGATAATACTGTAGTATTTACTATAGTATTCTACAGTATACTACAACATTCTATAGTAAGTACTACACATGATCGAGGGATACTACAGTGTGTATGTAGTATACCATTCTACAGTATACTAGTTTACTATAGAATTCTATAGTAAGTACTGTAGTATTCTATAGTAAACTGTAGTATTTTTTCATGTGGGCTAATGATTCATTTAACAGTATAAATGACTAACCTGATAGTGTTTGTGTGTGTCTACAACTTCAAAGCGAATGAGTACATAGCATGATCATATGGTATCATATCATACCAACCACATGTGGACAAGAAAGGCATTCCAGTGGTTACATGAGAACGCATGTATGGACAACATATGAGCCACTTCAGAAATTAACATTCTTTTACGGGGGCCCTGGTTTTAACAAGCATATTTCAGAGGGGTCTCCGATACACCAATAAACAGAGCTGATTTCACTACCATTTATAATCAGAGCCACAGAGTGAAAAAGGATCTCATAACTAACACTAGCCCTATCCTCCATTCCAGGTCCTACCTGGTCCTCACTGGCCAACACAGGAAGACAACAACACCTGGGGCCCGTTCAGTAGGCACCAAAAAGGATAAAATACATTGAACCAGAACAAGTAGCCTACTACCATAACTTATCCAATAAGATCGCACATTTTCACTGTGTGTGTTGTGTGTGTTGAGTTGTGTCTCAAACACACGTTGCCAGTTTGACTTAGCCATCATGCCACAGCCTCATAGACACACGGTAGAGCCCCCAAAAGCAGTCTCCCGTGTAATGCTGGGGCCAAATGTATCAAGCATCTCAGAGTAGAAGTGCTGATTTAGGATCAGTTTTGCCATTTAGATCACAATGAATAAGACAACATGGACAGGGGGCACCTGATCCTAGATCAGCACTCCTACTCTGAGGCTTGAAACATACGGCCCTTGGTCTACTGTACAGTGTAAGGCAGTCTATGCTAAGCCCTCTCAGATGTGGTAGTGCCGGAAGGGTAAGCCCTAAGTCCAGGCCTCGGTTAGGGTGCTGCTAAAGCCAATACGCACGCTGGCTGGCTGGCGGTGGTGTGGAGGTCACACTTTCATCTTTCACCTTTTCACCTGACAACAATAACTGAGTGAACATTCTGCAGCTATTCACTTTGATCACAGCTACTGTACAGTACATCCTTATGACTGGAGCCTTGAATCATTCAAAAGTACAAAAGAGCAAGCCGAAACACTATGGATAGAGCACTACTGGCGAGTAGCAACTGTAGATTAGTAGAAATGTGTGTGTGTGTGTGTGTGTAAAGAAGACTAGAGATCAGAGACAAGATGTGAGATGAAGGAGAGAGAGAGAGGAAGGGAAGGAGACTGGGGAAGGACTAAGAGCCCTGAAGAGAAAGGCAGCCAGTCAGTCGGTGGGCTCTGAGGTTTCACACACACAAGCACACACACACACACACACACACAACCCAGGGCTGGGCAGAGTGGGTTAGTGGGGAGCGCAGAGGAATGGAATGGTGAAGGAGAGAAAGAGAGAGGGGGAAAAAAGAGGGAGGATGTGGGACGATGAGGGAGAGGAACAAAATGGATGGATGGCAAATGTTTGAGTTTTTCTTTTCTTGAAGTCTGTAGTTAAGCTGGTCTTGGGGGCACGGACGTACAGTTGGCGAACAGACATCCCTCCAGAAGTCTAAAATTAAGAAAGAAAAAACAGAGCAAGGACTTGGGCTGGTTTTGGTGGGTGCTTTGACTGCTGTTAACAATTACAAAGTCATGATCGAATTCTCCAAAGAGACTGAAGTACTGAAGTACTGGTCAAATTGATAGAGGGAGAGCAGAAAGTGAGAGGAGGAGAGGAGAGAGAGGAAGAGGAGAGAGAGAAGAGAGAGGAAGAGAGAAATCAGATAGTGACAGTGATGTAGTGGTGTCTGGAGAAGTGAGTATACTCTAATTTTGCCCAACATTTTCCAAACAGCCAGCCCGGCGAAGGAAAGGCGCCCTGTGTGAAAAATTATATGAGAAACAGTGACATACACAGGTCTTTCAATCAGGCCATTCCAAGCTGTACTGTGCAAGTAGGCTAATAGTAGGACTGCTATTGAAACAGATAAATGAGGCTGTCAACTGAATCAGAAATTCACAGGTTTCCGTTCACTTTTTTTTTTTTACAGAAAAACAACACAATTGTATGTTCTAAGTCCATAACAATGCTTAAACCACATCAGGAGACCCAGTTACCCTTTAATTAAAGTGTGCAGGCACCTAGCACTGTTGTTTGGTTTGCAGTGTTTCTGTAGCACATGAGATGGAGTTTGCAATATAAATGACCACTGGACTGATGCAAATAATCATGATATCATTCTGACAGGTATGCAGTTTAATAGAGGTTTTTGGGAAAGCCTTTCCATCTACCAGAAGACGGTTAGACCCATCATTACCATCACTATATTTTTCTTGTTCCTTCATTGTTTGAAACCTGGACGTTTTACTTCATATTATGAGGCATGTCTTACCTTGCTTCAAAGTAGCCAAAATCACACCATAGAAGGGTGGAGGCAATTATTTTTATAAAGACTTACTCATATGCGTTCTCCTGTTCTAGGCTATTGGTTTTCTTTCATTGTCTAGCAGCCAAAGTCATTATCCTAATCATATTAGCAACCTATGACAGTTGTTGCATCTTTAAATCCCCCCTCTTTCCAATGGATATTTCCATCTCTGGAAAAGTACTTTTGTTGTCCAAATAGTTACTTTGTCCCTCTCATACTACATTCCCATCTCTTTGGTAGAACAGAATGAGAAAAAGGGATGAAGTACTCCTTTAAAAAAGTAAATGTGGCCACCAGCACCCATCACCCATCCCACACTAAACCCACACTCTGATGTGGAGGAGAGAGGGATGGTCGGCTTGGTGCAGAGGGGAGGAAGAAAAGAAGGGATGAGATGGAGAGAAGGAGAGGGGGTCCCATAATGAGAGAGTTGTGATACAGTGGGGCTCCAGAGCACTGCCACTCCTCCCTCTTCCTTCACCACTTCACACAGCACCAAATGCTGGGCTCACACACACACACACACACACACACGGTCCAAAGTTTCTGATTTAATAACATGCTGATAATAACAACTTTATTTGTAAAACCAAAAAGATTTTCATACATTAGGCTCAAAGTGCTCCATTTAGACGATGCCTTGGAGCCATACGAGCAGCTGATCAGAGTTAGCTAGGGTCTTTACAGACACAGAGACTGGGTGGCTAGAGCCTTTACAGACACAGAGACAACAACAACAACGTCAGAGACACAGGAGAGAGAAAGAAAGAGAGACAGACAGACAGAAAGCGAAAGAGACAGAGAGAGAGAGAAAAAGAGCAAGAGAGAGAGAGAGAGAGCTAACAGAAAGCAGGCCTGCATTCCAGGCCAGACGGCATAAGACATAGCATCACAAGGACGAATGGTTCTGGTTCTGGTTCCAGTCAGACTCTACTAGATGGTTCTAGTTCCAGTCAGACTCTACTGGATGGTTCTGGTTCCAGTCAGACTCTACTAGATGGTTCTACTTCCAGTCAGACTCTACTAGATGGTTTTGATTCTGGATCTGGTTCCAGTCAGACTCTACTAGATGGTTCTACTTCCAGTCAGACTCTACTAGATGGTTCTACTTCCAGTCAGACTCTACTAGATGGTTCTACTTCCAGTCAGACTCTACTGGATGGTTCTAGTTCCAGTCAGACTCTACTAGATGGTTCTACTTCCAGTCAGACTCTACTAGATGGTTCTACTTCCAGTCAGACTCTACTAGATGGTTCTACTTCCAGTCAGACTCTACTAGATGGTTCTACTTCCAGTCAGACTCTACTAGATGGTTCTGGTTCCAGTCAGACTCTACTAGATGGTTCTACTTCCAGTCAGACTCTACTAGATGGTTCTACTTCCAGTCAGACTCTACTAGATGGTTCTACTTCCAGTCAGACTCTACTAGATGGTTCTACTTCCAGTCAGACTCTACTAGATGGTTCTACTTCCAGTCAGACTCTACTAGATGGTTCTACTTCCAGTCAGACTCTACTAGATGGTTCTGGTTCCAGTCAGACTCTACTAGATGGTTCTACTTCCAGTCAGACTCTACTAGATGGTTCTACTTCCAGTCAGACTCTACTAGATGGTTCTACTTCCAGTCAGACTCTACTAGATGGTTCTAGTTCCAGTCAGACTCTACTAGATGGTTCTACTTCCAGTCAGACTCTACTAGATGGTTCTACTTCCAGTCAGACTCTACTAGATGGTTCTACTTCCAGTCAGACTCTACTAGATGGTTCTCTTCAGTCAGACTCTACTAGGGTGGTTCTGGTTCCAGTCAGACTCTACTAGATGGTTCTAGTTTTCCAGTCAGACTCTACTAGATGGTTCTAGTTCATCAGACTCTATAG